CTGATGATATGTCCTCCAGGATATACAAAAACACCATGTGGGCATGTTAAAAAGGTTATAAAAAAATAAAAAATAAAAAAGATTTTTATCAGAAGAGGTCTTTAAGCAATCCAGTTGCCTAATACACACAGGTGGCATGAAGGCTGATGTGATACTTAAGCCATATGCACTTAAACACAACTATGACTACAGTGACTGAGTACTGCTGAAGCACTGCTAACCTCAAAGCGTCCTGTGTAAACAGACTAAAGGTGCTGCTGCCCTGCTAACACACTGCTTAGCTTTGTCTTAAGATGTATATTACTATATTAAAGACATTTCCAATATTATTGTACTCAGCTTTTCTGTTGTGAAAACATTAGAAATCTTATTAACTATAAAAGACAATAAAAATCTCTCTAATTTATTTTATGTTAAACTATCTGTCAGGACCCAGACTGCCTCCAAAACTCACTCTCTCCCTGCTTCAGCCGCACTGGGATGCTTAGAGAAGCAGGTGGTTGCAGCAGACAGCGAGCTGAGCCATTCTGAAGACTCACCCACCGCCTCGCACATCCCCCTTCCACCGTTCCTCTGCCCTGTATCTTTCCAGCCATCCCTTTTTCAAACCATTCATCCTTTCCGGCTCAGCTTGATCACTCTATCACTTGGTGTCTACTTCCCTTTTCTCTGTCTCTCCCTCCATCTGCATGCCCCCACACACAGCAGCAACCCCAGGCTGACATCCACCAGATGTACAGCAGGTTTTTTTCCACTGGTTCTCCACCTCACACTCTGTTGTCCCTGCAGCACATTCACCTACAGCAAAGTGAAAGCAGCTGAATGCACTTAACAAGTTGCAAGAATGTAGTGTAATGATCACTGTCCTGTGTACAAATATGCACAACAAGATGTGCAGCAGAGAGCCTACTGATGAGGTAGAAGACAGGCTGATATGCAGGCCATCACGCTGACTGACAAGTTGCAGCATAAAGTAATACAAACAAATGATGCCCACCACATTTTAATTTGTATTAAAACAAACCCCAAAATACAAAAATAGATGTTTTAATACTGCCACAAAAAGTGGAAGTTTATTGACTTTCTCCTAATCCCTAAACAGATTAAATATGAATTAAAATCTGCTCTGGTTAAACTGTGACAGTCCTGGGAATAAAACCGCACAGCACAAAAAGATACCTGCAGTGAGTATGACATGACTAAATCCTTTCTGATTACCTTAAACATGAGGATTAGTTTCCAGAAGAAAAAAAACTCCCATAAGTCTAAGTGACAGCGCTACACTTAGTGGGCAAAAGGACAGGAGTGAGATGCAGAAAAACAAGAATGAGATGATTTCTCCATTCACTGGTGAAGAAAATGGCAATTCCGTTCTCTCCTAGTCAAGTTGAAAACTGGTTGTATTAAATATGTATTTCAGTATCTTTTCTGGTTTGTGAACTTTCCTCAGAAGGAACTTTGTTGACTTCACTTCCAGAAACAATTCAGCTCCGCCACCTCTGAATTCTATGAGATTTTCTTACAAGGGACAGAGGTCAGCATTGGTCTGGATAGACATTTATTGAGGAAGCAGATTACAGAGATTTGATGTCTCCAGGGATCCAGTAGTCTTGTTTAGAGCTGCAGAAATACTCTGATCACTGAAATTTATAGTAAGCTGAGTCTTCTTGCGACTTTGCAGGTCACAAGATACTTTACATAATAAAAAATAGAAGGAAAAACTGCGATTGTAACCAAAGCCCCCATCAATAAGTAGAAATTCCCAAACACTAAATTAAAAGGGCTACAGAGTATTGATGTAACATGAAAGCCCATATTCTTAATATGTAGCTGCATTCACAGGCTGTGCTTTTGTTTCTACTGTACCTGTACACCACTTCAGCTCTTTTACAGTAAAGCTGTGAGAAAGCGTGACCAAACACTTCACTGCTATATTTATTTAGCAAAGAAAAAAGAGCTGAGAATTGATGTCTCTGTTTTCTGGAATCTGTTCTGCAAACGTACCTCTTCATCCTCTGATCTAAAAGAGACACAAGTAGGGCTGGCTTGACATTATGCAAAATTGAGATGGCAGGACAGGCAGCGAACCGACCCTGAGGAACACAGCAGGCTGTGGTGAGCTAGTCAGCAGGATGGGAGTTGCTCTTTGTGCATTTCCTGCTTCTGTCCACCTCTTACTACAGATAAGGCTCATCTACTAACTTAAAGATATGATGTGCCAATTTCACATTATTGCAAGTACAGTTTAGCTGTGGGATCACAGATAACTGTACTTGCTTCCAAATAAAATCATCAAAATTAAGATTTCAAGACTGTGCCCTCAAGTTTGAAGCAATCTCACCAATTTTAGTAAGTATATGATACATTGCAGATGCTCTAGTTTGATAAAACACAGTAGAAACGCAAGATGGGAGCAAGAAGCAAAGCCTTAAAGCTTTCGAAGGGAGATGATGTACGATCAAAAATACCAGAACCAGCCGAAGGCATATTGGTCCTTTGAGGGCCTTGTGTAATTAAACGTGCAAAATTACATTGTTATCAAAAACGACCACCCAAGGTGGCAGCACCCCAAAGGATCTGTAATTTCAGCACTGATTGTTCTTTGTTCCATTTTGATTTATATTAAAATCTCAATCCAGGGCCACTGCTATAGCTCACCTGGTTGAGCTGGCGACCCATGTACAGGGGCTATCGTCCCCGATGCAGCGGCCATGGGATTGAATCCCGCTCATGGCCCTTTGCTGCAACTCCTTTCCCCATTCTCCTCCCCCACTTTCCTGTCTCTCTCTCGACTGTCCTATCTAATAAAGACCAAAGGCCAAAAAAAATAAATAAATAAAATATATATAAATCTCAACCCAGAACTCAACTCTTGTTTAAAATGTATCTTTTTCCTAACACATCAATGACAATTATTTATTTATGTATGGAAACACGAAAAGTCCTTATCTAAGGGGAAAAAACACAAAACAAAATAATGTTGTAGGGATTCAGGTCTCAGTAGTAATGAATCAATGGTACACTGAGCAATGTGCAGTCAGGAATGTAAGGTGAAAGGCAACAGTGGAGTTTGAGGGTGAGGTAAGCATTTTTTCCTTTTTTTGCAGCTGTGCTCACATACATGTTCATGGTTAGCCAATGGTCTGTCTGTTAATCATTTAGTACTTGACATTCAGTTTGGTTTGAAATGTCGTCAGTTCGGTACACCTTGTAAACCAAACTATTTCTTTCAGATGCCTGATTGTATCTACATACTTGTGATCCAGACACAACAATGTACGTAATTCTCTATCTGCAATATTTTGCAGTCTACCAGTTGCTGTCCTTTAGCTACAAGGTGTGAGCAGGGTAAGCCTTGAAAGCTGAGCAGATACAGTAGTTGTTCAGTTTCGAGCACTATTCAGCCTTACCGCACAGACAGAATCTGTGATTTCTCTGGTCACACTGTAAGGGTCAATCGACTAGCTACCACATAGGATCTATTAAGGAGACGTGGATACCAAATTACAAGATATTGAAAGTTACTCAGTGGCACACAGGCCAAAAGTTTTCTAAGCTTCTGCCATGTAATACCAGGAGGCTCCATACACTTCAATTAAGCATGTGCAGCAGCGTCCTCCATCGAGAACGTAGAGAGCATGTGTGGCCAAAATTCCTGCTGGTCAAGCTGGCTGACGTCCAATTATCATAAATAAAATCATCGTACTGCTCTTCTCCAACCAGTATTTGACAAAATGGATGAAACCTGATAATAAAAACGTTATTTTGCAGGCTTTGTAATGCTCAGAAAAAAATCCCCATTTTACAGATGCTCCCTATCCAGTAATGGAGGTGAGCCATTGCACACCATGTGATGAATGTGAAAGTTTAGCAATTTGCCACCTCACCAAAATTGCAGCACAATCCAGTGCTGTTCCTGGTAATTTGGCTCACAATAAGCAGTTGCTTTTTTCCCAGTAACAATTCCAATAAATCTTTTCCAAACAGAATGGGAGTGTCCTCACTGATGACAAAAAGAGAGAAAGGCAGCGCTACTTTGTGCAGTTTTTAAAGCTGAAATTGCACCGCTCGCTTTAATGTTTAATCACAAGTTTTCTTATTTACATGAACAATTTTTATTTCATTTATTTCATGAGTAAACAGCTCAACATTTGAGTGCCTTAATTCCAAAAGTAAGAATTATCGCTGACTGACACTTTCTAATTTTAATTTTTTATTATTATTTTTTTTATTTGGGAGTTTTCTCTGCCGTACCAAAAACATACAACCTCTAAGACCAAAGCTTGGGACATACTGACCAAAAAATGTGTGTACCATTACACTCAAAATTTAGCATTGCCAATAAGACTCTCAAAATATCAGATTGTCACTACACAATTATCAAAGCCAAAAGTCACGGAGTTAAAAAAAAAAAAAAAAGGTTTAATATTTAGACAAAGAGTTGTACTTGTCTATATTAGTTCAGGAAGTGTGTCTGGTGTGTATGCTTAGCCTGAGATAATAAAGGACAAAAAACAAATACTTAAATAATAATATAAATTAAGCAGGAACTCTAGTTTGTTTCATATAATTTTTCGGGGTGATTTGTTACATATCCTTATGTAGAAATTTCATTTTACAGAAAAACAAAAAAAAAAGGAAAAGAAATCCTGGATTTATAATAAAACCTTGATTTCCCCCAATATTGAACCTGTAATTAACTTCAATCAAGTAATTTTCTTCAAACACAAACCCACATATTTAGCAGGCAACATGACCTCTTAGCTAATGCTTTATAAACTGACTGTAAAAGTGAAAGGTTAAGTCAAAGTCAATCTGTCCCAAGGTTTTGAGACAGTTTTCCAGATATGCATTGCTAAAAGATTTGATAATGCTGTGTAAATGGTATGTGGTGCTGAGCACAGCTTCCTAGAACAGCATTTTCTGTGCTCTAAAAAAAACCCAAGGCATTTTACATTTGTTTCTCATGGTTAGGCATTGCTTAAACATGACTGACTCACCAGCAGTGAAGTCCTTGTTGAGGTCAATGAAAGCGTTGGAGTGAGGGATGCGCATGTTGACAGTTGAACTCAGTCCATTCTTCCACACTGCGACCCTAAAGGGAACAAAAACTGTCAGGCAACAGGAGGATTTAAAAGCTCCATGTTTGATAAAGTTCAGCTTTAGAAATAAACACAAGGACCTGTAAGTGAGTAAGGAGACAATTACATCACCTGTTAGTGAGATAGCAGACTTCAGTGGAGTGCGGGTTGGTGACTCCAAAAATATCTGGGATCATGTCTCCATTGAAACTGTGGAGAGATTTTTTTTCATTGATATTAAATACACACGTTATTGAGTGCTGGCATGAGTGTGTTATTAACGTTCTGTACAAAGTAAAGCTAAAGCACTGCGCTGCATTGACCACATTATACTATAAGGTTTCTGATATGTTGTCCATATCATTTTGCATGAAGAACGAATAATTTGGGATGAAACATCATTCTACTGCATATTCTTACCTAGTAAATTTATAACATCAGTGTACATTGAATTAGACTAGATTAGATTATTAAAGAAGGAATACACAATCGTAAAAATCAAAATCATACAAATATTTTCAAAAAGTGTTGTAAATGTAACAAAACCACACATATGGAACATTGCTTTTTCAAAGAACAGGTTTATATGCAGAATATTCAAAGTGGAGGTTATGTAAACACCATTCAGACTGATACTTACTCCATAACAAGAGGCTGATCTGTAAAGCTCTTGTTCAGTCTGAGCCACCCTTCCATATCTGCACAAAATGAACAGAGTGAAAAGGTTCATGTAATCATCAGCACAGAAAATCAGTGGAACCATCAAATCAGGCTGTACTGATGTCACTTGGTTCTAATGGCAATAGCAATGAACAAAGTTGAAATATACAGATAAGGGAATAAAAAACTCCTGCAAGGTTATTATATATTTGACTTTCCTTCTTTAAAAAACAGATACTTAAACAAAAATTCCACAAATTTTACAGGAAACCCAAGTTTTCAGCCCCCAGATAAACTTCAAATGTTCTAATATATACTGATCAGCCAAAACATTAAAATCACTGATGGGTGAAGTGAATAACATTGATTATGTTGTTACGATGGCACTTGTCAAGGAGTGGGACAGATTCAGCAATAAGTGAACAGTCAGTGCTTGAGGGTTTGAGTGACTGTGACAAGGGCCAAATTATGATGGTTAGAGAAGTGGGTCAGAGCATCTCCAAAGCGGCAGGTTGTTTAGGGTGTTCCCAATAGGTAGTCGTTACTACCTCCTTAAAGTGGTCAAAGGAAGGACAAACTGTGAAGTGGTAACAGTGTCACGAATGTCAAAGGTTCACTGATGCATGAGGGCAGTAAAGGCTGGCCCATGTAGTCTGATATCGCAAAAGAACTCCTGTAGTACAAACTGCTGAAAATCGAAATGCTGTTATGATAGAATGGTGTCAGAACCCACTGCGCATCGCCGGTTGCTGTGCATGAGGTTGTACCGCTGCAGAGTGTCCATGCTGACCTCTGTCTATCACTGAGCATGTATCACGTGCACATACAATGAGCAAGTGAGAGTTGAAACTGGATCATTGAACAATGGAAGAAGGTGGCATTGTTCAGAAATAGTTTAAGGAAAATGAGGGTATAAGGTGCTGACTTGGCATCCCAGTTCCCTAGATTATAATACAATCAAGGGTCTGAAGGAGGTGCTGGAAAAGTCAGTCCCATCCATGGAGGCCACAGCATCTGCTTCTCATGTCTTTGTGCCTGATACCACAGAAGCTAACGTCTTGTTGGGCCAGAGCTGTTTTAGCTGCACGAGGGGAAACTACACACTATAAGGCAAATGGTGTGGCTGATTGTTGTACCCCTCTATAATCAACAGTACAAATAGACCGATATCACTGTGATGCTGTTATAATCCCTGCTCAAGCTACTCACCATTGCTAAATAATCTATCACTGTACACCACATTAAAATATCAAAATTAAACTAATTATCATGTAATTTTACAGTTATCTAGTCAATTGTCATCGTCATTTCAAATGCCGGCTTCATATATGATTGCTCCATCAGTCGTGTCATATAATTTTTCTGGACCAAATGATGACAGACCATAGAATGAAAAACACAGCTGTAACTAATAACATGACCAATGTTTCTGTTCTGCTGGAGTGTTCCAGTAAGCCACGGTAGTGTGACTGTGACCCTAGATGGACTGCAGTATTAGGGTACTAAAACTAATACACTCATCATTCAGTTTATTATTTGCACCTAAGCTTTCCCCACTGTAACATGCTACAATGTCATCTGAGAAGGCAAATGGGATGTTAAGGAGAGAATTGTAAAATGTTGAGAAAACTATGCATCAGGTTAAATGAACGTTGGTTCATCTATCAGAGTACCCTACACAAAAGGCACAATGTGCTCTTGATGTACTGACACGTCAGGACAAAACATGCCTCTTAGATTTGACTCACGTTTGCCAGATGAGGGTCAGAGTTTCTTTTACTTACTGTAAGAAGTCGGGCTATCTTGTACAAAACTGATTTTTCACAACAGGCAGTGAAAATGCAGGTGGAATTAACATCAAAGTGTTTCCACTGCCACAGAAAATATGTTTTTAGTTACAGTGTAAGGCAAACCAATGATTTAGTTACAAATGTGCATTTCAGTGTGAGGCAATGAAAAGTTTACAACTGACAACAGACAAAGTGTGAGCCTAATCACTCATCAGTGCTCTCTTGTCTCCACACACTCAGAAACCACTCCCTGCTAGAGCTGTACCTAATGTCTGGTTGTTCCCCCAGAAGATGAAAACCGTTTCTTTCTTGGAGTTGATCTGAGCTGTAAGAAGAACATCCATCTGAGAGTCTCCATCATAGTCTCCAGGAACCACACTGGTGATGACGGCGTCACTGAAACAGGAAGCAGACAGAGGCATGTTGCTCTGAATTTTTACTGTGTGCTAGAATGTATTTAACATTCCCTCCCACAGAGTAAACAACCCTGAAACATGAGTCACCTGCTCATGTTTGGAAAGGAAATTAAGCCATGTTACATAGAACATATTGATTTAATGAATAAAAACAAATAAATCTAGCTGTGAAATTCATGTATTTACCTCGGCAAAATGTGCTTGCTGATGTTAAGTTTGGGCTTGAAGTAAGGAGGTTTTGAATCAGCCAAGAATATCACCACTTCAGACTCTGAAAGGGTAAGAAAAACATAGATGTCCATATTAATTAGGCTTTATCTATTTCCCACCACAGCAAACCTTTTTCACAGCAGACATTTTGACCTTTTATAGCAGAAATTCACTGATGTATTCAACAAAATCAATGATGACTGTATTTTACAGATGTTTTTTAGAAAGTTCTGGTACAGCACATAAAGGCTCATTGGAACAACTCCCTAGGGCATGAATAGAACTAAGTGTTTTTAGTTCCACCAGTGTTTTACCTGGTTGCTATGACAAGTCAAAATATCTGCTCTAAGAAAAGTCTATCTTTCATCAGTTTTCCAAAAAATAAGCAAAGTTAAATCAACTCAAGTCACTGTTATTTATTTAAACACTTAAAACAACAGATGTCACTTTCCGATAGAGAAACAATATTAATAATACAAATTAATATAACAAGTTGAAATATTATGCCTAAAACCCGACAATATTACAGAGGATACAGCTTTAGTGAGTTGTATTGTATTTTGTACAATATCACTTAAATGTCAAATGATTTAAAATTGCATCACCTCTTAAAAATTACTTTACTTCTAAGTTTACAAATAAAGTACTTTTACATATGAACAATTAAAAACCAATACTTTACAAATACAATGCTGAAAATAAAGGCTCCAAAGTAGAAACTCAATGCAGCAAAAGTGAATGCACCTGTGATTACGATCCACAAATTACAAAACCTGCAATAAAATTAATCACTAAAACAAACTGAGTGCACCCGTAACTTGCAATCAGGAGAACAACATAAACAAGCTTATCAAATGACCTGTGAACACCAGATCTTTCTCAGTTGTGAAAGTATGGGCTGTGTATATCTGGATGCCTGCATCATGGCTCCACATGGGAAAAAAAACATGTCAGAGTAATTCACAAATCTGATTGTGACTTAAAAAGGTGGAAAATTATATGGGAATATCAGTGACCAACTTAAATTCAGGGGAAAAAACAGTTGCAGCAGTGATGAGGAACTATAGAACAAGCCATAGAACCACCAATCAGAGCCCCAGCAATTGTCCTCCTCCATTGACAGCTCACTGTCTGCACAGTATAGCTCTGAAAATAAGACGGACAAGGGATATAGACGTGGAACAGTGAATGGAAATCTGCATTTCTGTGACAGCTCACAGGGTGTGAAGGACCATTTATAACATCACTCTCTTTGATAGTGTCCAAAAAAACAAAACAAAAAAAACCAACAACTTGCATCATAGCACTATGCAAGAAGAAACTTAGATGGTTGATGACTATTGGGAGACCATTCTTTGGTCAGATAATGGTCAAGATAAATTTTCTCAGCTCAGATGGGATCCAGAATGTATGCTGGTGTCAACCAGGTCAGGACTCAGTGAAGGCATAGTCCCAATAGTGAAGAACAGAGTTGGGAATATTATGATATGAGACTGCATGAGTGCAACAGCTGCTAGGAGGATTGACACTAATAGACGGGACTAAGAATGCCCATGGATATACCACAGCATTGGCTGATAGGTGCCTCCCAGTCTGTAGAAGCTTGGAAGCAGAATATTCCAGCATGACAACAATCCAAAACACAGTGCCACAATCACACTAGAGTTCTGAAAAAGGTCCTGACTTGAACCCAATAGAGCACCTTTGGGGTATTTTAGAGAGAAAGATGGAGCAACACAACCACTCCAGCAAAGAGCAGCAGAAAAAGTAGTCTCTGATGATTGGCAATATATGTGACACAAACAGTATTGGGAAAAAACAAAAAACAAACAACAACAACAACAACAACAAAAAAAGACGTGATTTTAATCTCAGTAATGAAAGGTGTGCTGACTTTTTTTTTTCATTAACTGTACATTGTGGGGTGTGTTTTATAAATACGTCAAATCTAAACTGTTGGTTTTTAATTTTACAAAATAACAAAAACTCAAAATAACAAAAAAGTAATACTGCAATTACTGTGAGGTGATACAATTTTCAGTTATTTGACATTTCAGTACCATTGCATAAGCTTTTTCTCAATTCTGTTGCCAAGTGCATTCAATACAAATGCCTTTTCTAATTTAAATATCAAGGTTTAGAACCTACAATATTGCGTTCGAAACCAATTTACCAACATAATCATCATCATCATCATCATCATCATAATAATAATCATAATAATGTAAAGACTCTACGACATTATACAGTAAAATCCAAGGAACCAACGACAGCATTTCTAAACACAGATCCATACGTTAGACACATTGTACAGGTAACGCTACACTATTATGTAATTTAACATCCTAAATTTTAAACCTTACATATTTTAAGACACCCTTTATAGCTTGTGTTATCGGGAAAATAGCTACCACGACACCAGGCAGGTGCTGAAGCTGTAACGTACGTTCTCTGATGACGAAGATGTCTGTCTGTTTATCAGAGTTAAAATCTCCAAACGCTGCCACCGTCCCATAGTTAGCGGCACCGAAAAGGTCGGTCGTTACATCCTGAAGGGCAAATGTGTTATATTGTCCCAAAAAGAGAGACAAAAACGCCAAAGAATATAAATTAAATATGCACATCCTTGTTGCAGTTCAGCTCCTCACAACAACAACTAACCGCAATACGGCACACTGCTTTACAGCAGGGGAAGTAGGAGCTTCTTTCAAATAAACGACGGATTATATTGAATGTCGATGTTTATTTTAGACACCTGCTCTGACTTTTTCGTTCTGTTAGAAATCAGGGAAACTAATGTCGTGAAATTGAAATAAACAATACAGTGTTTGAGTTTCCGATTTTACGTCAGTGTCGTATTACCGGGTAGTTTGACAGCTGACAGTTGTGTTAAGTTGAAAAAGTTAGCACGCAGAAAAACGGAAAAGGCGGAAACATCCCTTCAAGTAAATTGCGTGGAAATGGTTCAAACTGGAACATCAGTGAATACAGCATGAAAAATGTAGCACGTTAATGATCGTCAGGTTAACATCAAACGTTTTTCAAATTGGAATAATGTATTTTCTAAAAGGCCACGTCAACGCATTTATTTATGTTGTTCATGACGACGACTCGTGAGCCGCTTTACTGTTTTATTTTGAAGGAGGACTCCGGAAACACTTTCACTTTCTAGTTATTTTGACACTGTGTAAACATGGCGAGCCTGGCAGATGTCGGCTGGAAACTCCTGGAATTCAAAGCCCGATCAAAGAGATCAGGTCTGACTTATTGCTTTGCATGATCTCATTCTATGTGACACGCCCGGTTGTTTGTGTTGCTCAGGGCCGTGAAGTGTGTTTGTGAAGCCTCTGAACACCGCCTTACATTTTCCTTGATCTGCCCATTTACTTTGTCCACTTCTCTGTACCGACGCTACAAGCATGAAAGGTCAGAGGTGTACATGTGCAGCACTCCGGCTATTTTAGGAGCTTCTTCCCAGGTCTCTGTTGCAGCTTACCCACAGTCATGTGAACTGTGTTGTGTGCTGTAGTGCTTTCCACAGCGCCTGAGTGGGCCCGTGGAAGTTGGCAGAGTCTGCTGGTCTTGCACTAAGAAGGAAAAGTGAACCCTGCATAAAACTTTGAAGGATGTTGAACAATGTCAGGATAAAAACATCGCAGAAACTCTTCCAAAGCTGCTGTGTGATAGGTCACCTTGCAAACATTACGAACTTAAGACATATTCTGAACGTTAATATGATGCTTTTCTGTTAATTAACAAATCTTGTAAGGTGCATTAGTTCTCCTAGTTTTCATTTGACCGTAAGTTCAATCATCAGTGAGTCTTGTCCTCAATTTGTAAAGTAGTTATTCTGCTGAAAATCTTTTGGGTAATTCCAGTGTACAGCAGAGGTGAATACACCCCTCTGCAATACCACTTTAATGTCGAAGTATCAAAAATTGTATCACCTCTTAATAATTGCATTATTTCAAAGTTGGCAAAAATAGTATTTCCTCTGATGAACAAGTACTACAGAAAACTAATACTAAAGAAAAACGATATTTTTAACACACAGGCCCCAAAGTACAAACTGACCACAACAAAGGGAAGGCCCCTCAAATCGCTGACACACAAGTTAGAAAACCTGTGATTACTGAAACAAATTCAAGTACAAGTGTGACTTCCAATCAGCCTAACTGGATGAACGTGATTATAAAATGACCAGTAAACTGCAGAACTTTCTCCGTTTGGGTTTTGTCTACTGTGTCTATCTGCATGCCTGCATCATGGCTTCACATGGAAAGGAATTGTTAGAGGAACAGAAAAAAGCTAGTTGTGAGAGTTCACAAAAATGGAAAATTATACAGGAACATCAAGTGACCAAGTAAAAATCAGTTGCAGTATAGTTGCAGCACTAATAAGGAGGTATAGAATGAATCACAGTACCACTAATCAAAGTTGCAGTGATCGTTCTTTTAAAAGGGCGTCACAGACAGTGCGCCACTTGTACAATCTTGTCCAGAAAAACAGACGGGCAAGTGCTTGAGTCTTGACACAGGAGCTACCAATGGAAATTGGGGTTTCTGTGACAGTTGACAGTGTAAACATCAATTCATGATAGAAATTATTAGCCCAAACAGTAATTGAGGTGGATATTTGGCATTTTTTGATTGTTGGTATCGTTATTTATATTGACAGATTGTCACTACGTACCTTGGGCGATGATTCCTCCTAGCTATGATGACATGTTCCCTGTTATCACATGCTGTGAATATCTAACTTTAAATGTCTGTGTATAAATTCAGTAATAGTAATCTTTGTTAATGTACAAACCTGGTTATGAATGACAGGCTCCCTGATATCACGTGCTGTTAATAAATAACATTTACTGTATTTCAATTTCAGATAGTAATTATCAGCCTTTCTTAATTACTAATAATTGATATTGACATCAGCTCTAAAAAAAACATTTCAGTTGATTCCTAGTTCATAATGTCAGCCTCAGTGGCCAGCCCCCAAGTTAATATGTCTTACTTGCTCTTCTGCACAAAACTGAGATAGAACTTGCAAAAGAAAATGAAAAGATAAATATTGGGAGAACATTGTTTGGTCAGATGAGACAGATGGAAATTTGTTTGGCTTAGATGGGCTCCAGTATGTTTGTCGTGAACTCAGCCAGGACCACCACAGTGAATAAATAGTCCTGACAGTGAAGCACGGAGGTGGCAGCATGATGAGGGGGCTGCATCACATTTTAGGAACAGGACTTTTATAGATGCACCATGAGTGCATATACCAAAATACTATCTGAAAAGATGATTCCCAATCTGCAGAGACTTGGCAGCATTATAACAATCCAAGCTACACTACCAAAATCCCATGGCATAACGTATAATGCCATAACATCTCTCTAGAAACTTATGGACACTGATATCCTACATGCTGAGGCTTATTGATTCTGTCATCAAAAATAAAGGTGGACATATGGCATATATATTTATATAAAACATCAAATATTAAAAAAAATATATTAAAGATTTAAATCTCAGTAATGAAAAGTGTACTAAGACGTTTGCTGTATTGAGTTCCTACTGTAGGGCCTTTATTTTTAATATAGTCACTGTAAGCTGTCATTTTAAATTTTACACAAGAGTAAAAACCCACTGTTCAAATGTAGACATAATGCAGTTACTGTAAGTTGATACAGTTCTGAATAATCTTACATTTAAGTGGCTTGATCACTTCTGTTCTACACTGCACATTGCTATTGTATTGTAATTCATCATCTTTGTTCTCTCAAGGATTACAATAACATTCATTCCAAAGCAAATACAATGCATAGTAATTTCTTGCATGTTGTTCATGATCATCATCACCCCACTGTGTAATTTATTGCTGATTCATGCATGTCTACAATCTAACTCTGTGCTACTAACTCCTTCCTGTGAATTGCAGTAGATTTGTGATTTAGCTGAGAGAGACGATTGGCCTTAATTTCACCTTTTGAGAATGGCTGCAGTTGACCAGCCTCATCGGAAAGTTCACAGACTCGGTAAGTAGTGGCAGCAGATCTAAGGAAACCAGTGCAGTCAACCTCATACACAAGGCAAGAGAGGATATTGGTATAGACATGTGAACGCGAGGTGCATTAAAAGAATATACATGATTATATTATGATCACAGAAGAACTATTGTTGTGAACAGAAATCACCATATGATTACATACTAGTTGTTTTATTTTCTGCCTCTGAGGATGGCAGTTATCTTAAGATCACAGTATCAGTACTTTGTGATGATGCAAAAACGAAACCACTCCATGCCTGAGCCCTCTTGGGCCATCCATATGACCCATACTCTGATGGTACAGTATGGCTTATGTGAGTAAATGTGTGAACAGAATCATACTGTTCTTCCACAGTACGCATGAAATACATGAAGTAGCACAAAAAATATGAATGAGGCATCAATGAAGTTAGTCATGGGATTGTTTAAAACCAGCCAAACCCGAACAGTTCACATTTGTCTGATCCCATGTAAGAAATTAAAAATTGTAATATTGGACTTCCTCTATGCTCTTTTAAAGTGTTATCTTTAAAAAGAGATTGATTGGCTTTGTTGGCCCCTGCAACTTTTAAGCTGATGGAAATTATGCTAATTTCAGTAAGAATGTGAATTTTTCAGTACCTGTGGTATTGACCCAAGGTCGAACCCATTAAAATGCAAATCTCAGCAAAGTGAAAAGTGTCTGAAAATAGAGAACGGGAACAGATGGGGGGTTCCCTCAAACTCCTGCTCTCGCTCTCAGCTCAGAGGAAAATGCTGGTCGCGACTCACATTACAATTTGAAATTTTAGCTTAAGGCCTGAAAATTATTTTGTGTGCTGAGCCTTTTGTGATGCGATGTGTTGCAGTGAAATACGGAAGCATGTGTGTGTTGTTTATGGTCTCTGCTGCCTTTTTTCTTTTGTAATAAATTGAAATGAGAACATTTGCTAATGTAGTTATTGCAAGATGAAAAACATTTTTTTCTATATATTGGAGAATGTGAAATAACATTACTGTCTCAACTCTAAGATAAGATTATTTATTGAGGGTGCCTTGGTCCAGTTTGAGTCATATTAATAATTAATCCGAGAAGACGGAACTGAGACAAATTTTTCTGGATTTTTTAAAAACATCCAGTGACTAATAATGTATCACTTTGACAAAATATGTTGCCGGGCCGTGTTTGGAACTGCTTGTATGTAACAGATGTGTCCTTCTTCAGGCTCCATCTATGAACCTCTCAAGCTGTCAATTCTCCAGCGGGAGGATGAGCCCCTTTGGGAGAAGCTGGACCGTTACTATAATGCTGGTGAGTACATGTATTCAGTACTGACAAGCTGTAGGTGAATAATCTAAAGCTGGCCGAAACACATTGCACTCTGGGCTGTTTCTGGACATTTTGGTACCTACGGTGAGACGTTCAACCAAGACAGACTTGGATAATGTTTTATTTTTCAAATTTAATGTTATTCAACTCTATGTAACTTCAGATCTGTGTCATGTCATTAACATCATGAAAATCAGTCCCCGTTAGGGCTGAGACATATATCGACTTCAAAATCCCAATTTGTATCTATGCAATTAGAAAACCACAATGGCTGCAGATTCGGATATACAAAGTGTGGCTTTTGAATAACTGGACTAATGCTGGAATTCAGTTTGATTTATTTCAAGCAGATTGAAACTTGTACAGGTTGATTATGCTGCCTATTGATCAGTGTACAGTGTGCTGTGGTTCGCCTGACATAAGCTCTGACAAAAGTCTCGTTATTTAATAGCCACACCTCATGTATTCTGCAACAGGGTATAACTATCATGTTAATGGTTTTACAAATTCCTGCCAGCCTCCTCTTCTATTACACAGTGAATATTGAACTAAAACTTGACTTTAAAAAGTGATGTTGCAAATCAAATAGTGATATCTGTCAGAAAAATTGCAACTACATATTTTCCGAAAAATCGTTCAGCCCTTGTCCCTGTTGTGATTTATTCTGATTTTACCAATATTGATTTAGAACATTAGGCTGCAGGGCTGCAAGGTGGCTCGGTGGTTAGCACCGTTGCCTCGTAGCTAGAAGATCCCTGGTTCATCCTGGTGAGGACACCCGGGACCTTTCTGCGTGGACTTTGCATGTTCTCTCCGTGCAGTGTGGGTTCTCTCCAGGTTCTCCAGCTCCCTCCCAAAGACCAAAAACATGTTGAGGTTAATTGGTGATTCTAAATTTTCCGTAGGTGTGAATGTGAGTTTCTTTGGTTGTCTGTCTCTAAGTGTAGCCCTGTTACTTACACTAGACTGGTTACCTGTCCAGGGTGTCCCCCGCCTTCTCTCTGAGTCAGCTGGGATAGACTCCAGCCCCCCGCCACCCTAGTGAGGATTAAGCGGTGTATAGATAATGGATGGAAGGACAGTAGGCTGCTAATTTCTCTGTGTAATTTTAACATTACTTTTGACAGTTTGATGCCTCCACATCTCAGACAGTCTCTCTCCTTTCTGTACTCAGGTAGATGTGACGTTTTATTTTGGACTCTGATCATATTGTATCATCCAGTATTTATTTAGATAGATTGTCTTTGTGACCATTTCCCTTCTCTTCAGAAATTACAGTAAAATATTTCTGCTGCATTAAAATTAGGGAACTTTTTAAAAAATATATATTTTTTATTACAACTGAATAGTCCTCCGTTAAAAATATTGTTTTCTATAAAATTTTGGATTGTGTCCTGTATTCTCAGTGTGTCAGAGTGTGCATCTGTGTGGGGTCAGGATGGGACACTTTTTACTCTCAGTATTAACAATCTGCTAACAAATAGCAGCACTTTGGAGACGTGCTTCACCTGCTAAATGTCACAGAAACAGATGCTCACTGCTGCTAACTGTTATGTAATTAGCTCAGACTCACTGCATCTTTTATGTACTTTGCGGCTCAGGGGGTCACACGCTCACAGTGCTGTTCAGACAGAGCCATAACAGGACAGCACAGTGTTTTTGAACGCTGCCTTTCCAGCAGCAGACATCTGGATTTAAAACTCAAATCTATTGTTTAAAATGGAATGGGTCCTGAACTCAATCCTTGGAATCAGTTTGGGACTTTTGTACAAGGTGTAGATAATTGTCTACCACCGCAGGCTTTTTTTTTTTTGTTAAAACACACGACTGATTGGTGCTGTAAAACACCAGCAAGTGTAGTAAGTGTCACTGCACACTGTCAGATTGGATAGAAAACGTAATACCATGTTGATGGAATAGATATTTTTTCATCTCTTGGAACACATGGCCCACCCAAAGCGTGGCCTTGCTGTAGAGCTAATGTATGTGACTGTAAAAGCGGCAGTTGTTTTGTCACTGCAAAGATTCTCAAATTGCTTTGGGTATAGTGATTACATCTTGCAGATATGCAGTATTGTTTAGAATGAAATTGTTCTCCACTGGCAAGATAAAAGTGTGCCATGGGACTTCCCTGGTGTTTGAAGTGCAAAAATATTTACCAAGTATGCCCAGACTTGCAACGGTAGGAGACGTTCTTCCATTTAGTAAAAGCAGCAATATTATAGTGCAGAAATGTTCCATAACAAGTAAAAGTCATGCATTAAAATGCATATGTAATTTAGCTGAGAGGAAGTATTGGTACCAAAAGTAATTCAAATGCAAAGCACTCATTATGCAGAATAGCCCCTGGTATACATTATGTTACTGGTTAATAATTAGTGATGCATTAATGTATAAGTTGTTTATATTCTGTATGTATTTTGAATTATGGCTGAACAGCAATTAGCAAACCACAAAGGCTGCATTTCTGGATATATGTTAGGGAGCGTGTCTGACGCAGGTTTAAACTGGTATGTCAGTGGGTTTACAGATTCATGCTGTTCTCCTTAAATGACAGTCATGCTTTGAGTGGCATCTAATGTTTTAACACTCCTTCACATGCTTTATTTTCTGTGACACTGTGAATGCTGAACTTCAATTTACTAACTTTCAAAATTAGTTTGCAAATCAAATCCCAATAACTACTAAAAAATCACAATTAGATATTTATCTCAAATTATTTAGCCCTAATCTGACTCTGCCAATGACGAATAAACATCAGTAACTGATAACTAAACAGATATTAATACTGAAAATCCAGTCATGCTCACAAATACATGGGAACGTGTTCATGAGTGAATGAGAGAAATAAGGTCTTGCCTATTTGTCAACCACACTCTCTAATAACTGAAACTATCTTGTTGCTACTAAGACCTTAGGAAGGACACAAACTTGGTGATGCATGGCCATTGCAGCCCAGTCCAGGTGATAATTCTCAGCTGTGTAATCAGTAAAGGAGGCTCAGCCTCACTGCAGGAGAGATAAATACACATTAGTAGTGATTACTGAATTACCTGCAGCTGTGAGTGTAGCACTGTGGCAGCCAGCGGTATCTCCCAGTACACATGGAGACACCACACAGCTATACATAAAACATCTGCAATTTCAGAACCCACTCAGATTGGTCATTTGAATGTAAACCAATCTGCTCTACTACAAAAGTGAAGACAGAATACAAAAGTTTGTAGTTGCTGTGAGATATTGCTGTAATCAGTGCTTGTGTGACAAGGCCATTAGCCTGGCAGAAATGTTTGCAAATTGCAGTCAAATCTGGTGCTGCAAAGCTAAATGGAGATGTGTTTGTTTAATGATAACAATTCCCTGACAGACTTGTTATTTCATGAAATGCACATGTGTAACCAATAGCATTAATGATGGTCCGTTCCACTTAGGTGTGCCGGTAAGTAGAGCCAACATGCACAGCAGCAGGATCCTGGCACTACCATATCTGCACTCAATGCAGCTGCTGTTAATCTGATTAGATACATGTATGTTTGACAAGTCAAAATGTCTGCTGGGAGAGTGCTCCCTGTTCACACCAAATTAGACAGTTTGCAAGCCTTAACGAAGAGTGGACACAGTTTAACAAAATAACTAATAAGGGGACATCATTTAATTATTTGCTTGTGCAGGTATGCTATAAATGTCGACCTGCACCAAAGTGTTTCTTTATGTTTGTTTTCCCTTAAGATAAGAAACTGGATTCGCCCTCCTTTCTGTTTTACAGTAAAATCAATACAAGTACAGCCAAAGCGCAACAGAGGGGATAGGCCAAACACAGCACTTCATTTAAGTAGATAGAGTAGGGTTTACTGTGTGGACGGCAGGCTCATGTGTTGCCTCTGGCTGTGTGTGGCTATTAGACCCGGGTAATGCAGCTCAGGATGCTGTCCCTGAAGATCAGTGCTGATGTTGCCATTGTGAACATAAGCTGGGCTTTTCTCAGTTGCTCTTGTTGAAGTAACAATAAAAATTTGCTCTACAGCACAGCAGACAAACCCTGATGTCTTAAAAGGAATATCACTTCATTTAGTGGATTCATTTATTTTTATCCTGTTTCTGCTCAAATGTAATCACACATATATGGCAAGCTATGCCAGGTTTTTCACAATGTTTTGTAACAACTATAAAAGAAACACATGCCAGTGCTTCAGTCAATATAACATTTGAGAGATTATGGAATGCACAAACAGTGTCGCCTTCTCCGAGCACCCACCTTCAACTATTCAAAGGTGACCTAAATTAACTATTTTTTCCAGCTGGAATTCAACAAAAAGTGAACTAGGCCACAAGATTTCCTGCAGCATGTTGTGAATACTTGGTTGTCTGTCTCTAAGTGTAGCCCTGTGATAGACTGGTTACCTGTCCAGGGTGTCCCCTGCCTTCACCCTGAGTCAGCTAGGATAGGCTCCAGCCCCCCCGCGACCCTAGTGAGGATTAAGCGGTGTATAGATAATGGATGGATGGATGGATGTTGTAGTGGAATCCTCCACTAATGTCAGAAGACATATTTACCCTTCCACTACAGCAAGTGATCACAAGACAAGATGCATCAGGATCTGTGTGAGCTCAGTAGGTAACATTGATTGATCTCATGATATGTTCACTTTGTGGTCATTTAGTAGGTCAGTTTTTCCCACAAAGTTGTGAGAAAAAAAGAAGTCACTACTGCAGTTAGTTGTTAGACACCAGGTTAAAGTTGGCTGGACAAACAAGGTGATTTTAGGTAATAAAGAGTAACTTTTCTCCTCCTAGCCTACACTGGTAACTTTTGACCATGCTGCAATGAAGTACAAGTGCACTCTAGGACCCTGTGTCATTAATGTTGGCTTGGTTAGAGGTTCAGCTACTGGCTGCATCACCCATACCTCAGGTGTCCTTGCTGAAGCTCAGTGTGGAGGCTGTGACTATCACCATCTCTGCAGTGTCTGACTCTTCCCAAC